AAGGAATGAAATCTTGGGCACCTGGGTGGCTCAGTCGTTAAGCGTCTACCTTCGGCTCAGGTCATGGTCTCAGGGTCCTGGGATCGAGTCCCACATCGGGCTCCCTGCTCCGCGAGAGGCCTGTTTCTCCCTCTCCCACTCCCCCTGCTTGTGTTCCTGCTCTCGCTGTCTCTGTCTCTGTCAAATAAATAAATAAAATCTTTAAAAAAAAAAAAAGGAATGAAATCTTGCCATTTGCAACGACATGGATGGAACTGGAGGGTATTATGCTGAGCGAAATAAGTCAGTCAGAGAAAGACATGTATCATATGACCTCACTGATATGAGGAATTCTTAATCTCAGGAAACAAACTGAGGGTTGCTGGAGTGATAGGGGGTGGGAGGGATGGGGTGGCTGGGTGACAGACATTGGGGAGGGTATGTGCTATGGTGAGTGCTGTGAATTGTACAAGACTGTTGAATCACAGACCTGTACCTCTGAGACAAATAATACATTATATGTTAAAAAAAGAAGAAGAAGAAGAAGAAGAAGCAGGAAGGGAAAAATGAAGGGGGGGAAATTGGAGGGGGAGATGAACCATGAGAGACGATGGACTCTGAGAAACAAACTGAGGGTTCTAGAGGGGAGGGGGGTGAGGGGATGGGTTAGCCTGGTGATGGGTATTAAGGAGGGCACGTACTGCATGGAGCACTGGGTACTATACCCAAACAATGAATCATGGAACACTACATTAAAAACTAATGATGTAATGTATGGTGATTCACATAACATAACAAAAAAATAAATAATGTAAAATAATTAATTGATTAATTAATTAAAGTACTACTAAATAATTAAGAGACAAGCGAAAAAAAGAAGAGGTGAAAAGAAACCGAAAGGAATAAAGCCCTGCTTTAAAATGTCAGCAATTGTGGGGCATCTGGCTGGCTCAGCGGGTAGAGCATGTGACTCCTGATCTCAGGGTTGTGAGTTTGAATCCCACATTGGGTGTAGAGATTACTTAAATAAATAAAACTTTAAGAAATTTTAAAAAATAAAATGCCACCAATTGTTAACAGATCCTTCATAAAAACACTGCATCCATGAGTCCTGAGAACTTACTGTGTCTTAACTGGTGCAGGTGTGGGGAATCAGGAACATGTTCTCCCTGATACTCAGGCCCTGCCATGGGCATTCTAGATGAAAAGTGTAATAATCAAGTGGGAAAGACTAAGGATTGTTCTAACTTAAAAACAGGCTAGACTACCCATGGGTCCAATGAGAAAGCTAACAAATTGGAAGGAGCTGTCCTATCACAGCAGTCCTCAAATACTTCTGGAGAAGAGAGATTTTCCTCCAGTGTTTTATTTGCTTAAACTTTGTAATTGTATTCCGCTATGAGAAAATATCATCAGGACCCATCAAAGAGTTGAGGGTAATTGACTTAGGTTTATAAAGCCGAGAAAAACTGATCCTCCAGTACTCTTCTAGATTCTGAGCTTCCATCATCTCAGGAATCTCATCTTTACTGTTCCTGAATGCTCTTTGAAGCAAAAAGGCAGTGCTTACAGTTGCTCTGGTTGTGCACTGCACAATTTCAAAGCAGAGCACTTTAGCTAGATCACGACTGTAATGTGGCAGCACTGAGAGTTTCTAAAAGTTAAAGCTGATCAAAATTTACACAGTCTCTTTTCATGTGGATTGCACAAGCAGCTTCCCTATTCTAGTCAGGATTGTTTTGCTACTCAACATTCCTGACCCAAACAGGCCCTTAAGGACCAGCCTGTTGATAGTAAGGTTTCAAGTCAAAGGCACTCCACTGACCAGAGGTGAAAAGAAAAACACCCATATACGTCTTTAAGGCCCCTTGGCACACAATTTGTAAAAGTTCTAAGAAAGTGACAAACAGGATCACAGTGACCACATGCAGAGCACCTTCATACACACAGAAGTAGGTGTGATTTTAAAGTGTTTCCCTGGGATGCTCATGGGTTAGAAGCGGGACTTGGTGCTGGTACAGATGAAAATCTTCGGCTTCTTCTGGAAGGTTGCCACCAGTTTGTACAGAGCCCCACACCCACCTTCACCAGGGCCGCTGCTGGAGTCTGCTATGATGGCTGCTGAAGCCTGAAGGCCTACCTGAACCCTACAGCTTTGGGGAGCTGGGAGCCTCAGCCACCTACAGCAAGGGAGGCCACGGCTACCTCAGCTATTGCCACCAGGGTCACAGCCAGTCTCACAGGCCAGCAAAATCCTTCTCAGGAGCCCATCTTTGTTTACCTGGCCTCTTCAGAGACAATCATCTCAGCGACCTGAAAACTGCAACACAACAAACCTGCATCCAGGAGTCCTTCCACGGAAGTGTACCCAGTCTCTCTCTGATGAACCCCACAGGCTTTACAACTCCCTGAGCTGCCCACCACAGACATATCAATCATTCACCATACCAAGCGATCAAAGCCTGCAGAAGGAATGGGACTAAGCATCCGATGTCCATTCTTGTTTTTTAATATAATCTGAAGGAAAATTAATCTTTGTAAACATCTTTTTCTGGTATAACTGAGTTCCGAACAAGTTCTCAAATAAGAATGATTTTTTTATCCCCTATACATTTTTTTGAGAGAGAGAGAGAGTGGGAGGAAGGGTAGAGAGAGAAGTAAAGAGAGAGAATCTTAAGCAGGCTCCAAGCTCAGCACAGAGCCCAGTGTAAGGCTTGATCTCACCACCCTGAGATCATGACCTGAGCCAAAATCAAGAATCAGATGCCTAACTGACTGAGCCACCCAGGTGCCCCATGTCCCCTATACATTTTTAAAAATTCAGTGGTTTTTAGCATATTAAGAATTGTACAACCAGCATCATTACCAATTTCCAGAACATTTCATCACCTCAAAAAGAATCTGGGGCCTATCTTAAATTACTCTTCTGCCCAGGCCATTCTACGACCATAGGCTATTGACCACTTTGTGTGCCCAGAGAGTAAGTAAGTGCCCAAGATATTCTTGCATTGGCCTAAAAGTTTAGCAATAAGTCAGGGTAAAATGTGGGAATGCTGGCCAAACTATATATACTATTGCCAGCAACCCTGTGCTCAGAAACTGGCAGAAAAATGCCCCTCAAACCAAAAGGAGCTCCAGGGGAGCCTGGGTGGCTCAGTCAGTTAAGCATCTGATTCTTGATCTCGGCTCAGGTCATGATCTCAGGATTGTGAGCTCAAGCCCCGCATCACGCTCTGAGCTGAGCATGGAGCCTGCTTAAGATTCTCTCTCTCTCTCCCCTCTGCCCCTCCCCTTCTCCCTTGCATGTGTGCACAAACGCATGTTCTCTCTTTCAAAAACAAAACAAAGTAAAAACAAAAACCAAGAGAAGCTCCAAAAAGAAATTTAATAAAATCGTATAAAATTATTCACTCACTCAGAAGACTTTATAATAAACTGTAGAATCCCTAAAAAAGAAGCATTTAAAAAGAAAAACCTGGGAGAAGGGTCAGGACCTAAACTCCGGTGTCTCTGCTACACACCTCCCCTCCACCATCTTGGCCACATCCCTTAACTGCTATGGGCTTCAATTTCCTCATTTGTAAAAGGTGGTGGCAACTTGGATAATCACTAAGATTCCTTCCAGCTCTGAGAATTATGAGTAACAAACGAACGAGCATCACCTCTTAGATGAAAGGCAGAGTGATTTATTTAGGTGAGGATTTGTCACCCAGATCCACCACTAATCAGTCAGGGAGCAAAGGAGCATGCAAATCAAAGCCTTTCCAAAGGCTTTGAACAAAACACAGTTGCAAGGGGGAAGGTGCTTCGGGGGCTCGTGAATATCTCTTGGGTGGCAACCACCTGACTGCATGAAAGAATGACAAGAGGCACACTCAAAGGCAGACAAGCAGCAGCTTGGGTGAGCAGAAACAGGTAGGGTTCACACCATGGGCGTCATATGATTTTTATTTTACAAAGGACAGGTTTTCAACACGAGAGTGCAGAGGGCACTCAGCAGCAAACCTTACAGTCGGAAGATAACCCCGGGCTGTGGGAATGGGCAGAAAATAGCAGACGTGCATCAGTGTGGGCAAGTGTAGAATAATGCTCTGAGAAAAAAGTAATTCAAATTATCCTCATGAGACACGGGTTCAGATGAGTCATATACAAACCAGAAACACTCCGTCACTATCGACAGTTTTCTCAGGAGACTAGTTCAAATAATCCGAAGCAGCTAAAGGTACCAACAGAAAGCGCTCATTGTTTTGGGCACAACAGGAACTAGAAAGGGCTTTAGAAATAACCCAGGTCACCTTTCTCATTTTAACTGAGACTCTGAGGGCTTGGGAAATGCCTTATGCCCAGCAAATGGCCAACAAACATGAGTTTGAAGGAGACTGACCAATAAAATGTGTAGTTCCAGCCATACCGCATGCAGATACTATTTTGTTATATTTGGCATCAACTTCAAAACCTTTCAGAGTAAAAAACCACAAAGGAACAGAGTATTGTGGGCAATTCCTGAATCCGAAAAACAACTCTAGAGTAACCGAGGCAGCCAACAGGGCAAAGGTAAGCTTTAAAACTCGACTTCCTTAATCTGCAATTATGAATATTGCATGATCACATATGATAAAAATGTGTGAAAGGATGTCAGTCAGCAGTAGGGTGAATCTGAACTTTTTCACCAAATCCTTTTACACTAGGATTGAAGCAATTCTGGATGTTTGAAGAAGGAACTTTTAGAAGAGGAGAAGGCAAGCACTAGTTTATCCAGCAGATAACAAGCCTGTCTGGACAGCTGAGGCCGCACCAGATGAAAACACAGATGTCAAAATTTAAGAAGGGATAAGTATAAATTCATGGGCGATAAATCCACAATGGGTCATTGAGATCAGTTTCAAGTACGTGGACAATGCCTAACCCCAGTGCTTCCATCCTGGAAGGCAAATCACTCTCCTATAAAATGTCCCTCAGAGATGCAACTGGGTCAGAGCACTGGGTTGAATGGGCAATATAAAACAAGCAAACTGACTTACCTGTGGGATGGGATGCAAGTGCCAGGAGCACCACACTGAAAATGAAACAGCAGAGCAGTGAGGAAGTCTTCCCAGCACTGAGGAAACAGCAACATACAATTCTGTCCATTCTGCTCGGAAACAGTGAAATTTGCCTAAGAGCAGATTAGCTGCACCAAATGGTTTCACTCATCAGTGAGAGGGTGAGATCTCCTGAGATGCCTCAGGTTTTAGCAAGAGGGTTGACCGCACCCGTGATGGGCCAAGGACCCACACCCCACCCCCAGGCCAGCTGTGTGGCCATTATCACCACACCTAATTTGCCAAGAGTACGAGTAAGCTAAACAAAGCCAACTTGGAATTACAGATCAGCTGCAACCGAAAAGCCAGCTGTCGAGTGTGAGCTAAATCTGTCTGCCATAAAATTAACTCTGTAGAAGGTAAGCTAAATTTCCAAGAAGACATCCCACAGAATGATCCATCCCATCCACCATGTGCCTGGAAACTACCTGGACTGATTTGCAATGGAAGCCGAAAAGGATGAGGAGAAGGAGGAGTGTTCCTCTGATGCTGGCTATGTTGGTCCTTCCTCTCCAGAAGCTTCTCCCATCTCCCAGTACCCGCCCACCATGCCTTCACACTGCCCTGGCCCACCTTCTACACCTTTTCCATCACGACTCCATGCCATGCAGGCAGCTATCTGGTTAGAGGTTAGGAATACAACTTTTTATCCAAGGATAGGAGGGGATTTTTTTATTTTTAATGCTAGACAGCCTACTCTGGTTCTTAATGCTGGCTGGACACCAGAATGGCCAACACCCCGGCTAGAATCTCTAAGGGCAAGAGCCAAGCTTCAGTTGTTTTCCTTTGTTACAGCCCCAGGGTGCTCTAAAGGGCACCGGGATGGAGAACCACCAAAGTCTCTAGTTGGTGACATTATAGGCGGTGTGGGGGACAGTTTGAACGGGGAAGCCACTGTTAGCTTGACAGCCCTGCCCCCTCCCTGCTCCGGGGTTAAATCCTTGCACCATTTCTGTTTTTCTCAATCTCTTCCTTTGCTCTGCCCCTCAAGTACTGGTTCTCCGATGACTCAGAGGAGCGGTGTCATGCAAAGAGGCAGGAGGTGAGGAGGGTCAGGAGAGAGGCAATGAAGAAGAGCCATGTGTTAGGTCATTCAGAAGTTGTAGGTTTGTAAGACAGGCCTTACAGGTAGCTACAAAAAATATGCACACTACAAACTAACCTGGAGATGTTCTGTCCTTTGCTTGCCATCTCTTCTTTCTTTGGCAAACACAGACCCTGTACAATACTCCATTATGTTATCTCACTGGATCCCCTTTTGGTTATAACTCCTATGGCAGGATAGAAGAGGCCCCTTTCCATCCCAAAGTATCTCCCAGAGCTTGCCATGGTACCCCAAATCCCATCATTGGCATCATCCCAAAGGGTGTCTCCGAAATAAAATATTAGGGGATAAAACTAAGAAGAAATAATTAAATGAAAGAGTTGATCCTCTAATCCCTGTTTGAGTTTTGCAAATATAGTGGCATACCACTCCTAATTCCTATGCTGTGACCTCCTATAGGGCAAGAACCATATTTTATTCCTCCTGGATCCCAAGTGTCTAGCAGGGCCACACATACAGTAGGCGCCGCATATGTGTTTGGAATTGTAATTAATCGCCTCCAGGAGTATTTGTGGTGGGCAGTATAGAGAAGTATACCTATTTGTGGTGGGCAGAAGAGAAGTATACCTTGAAGCCCCCTATATTTCTAAGACTATATGCGACATGTAAACTCTATAGAAGAACTTACACTCCTATAAAAGGCATATGATGACAGATCGACAGCAGATTTTTAAAATGCATTCAACAGCTGTTTATTGAATGTCTGGTCAGTGCCAGATTCTGTTCTAATTTGGGGATATGGCAGTGAACAAAACAGAAAACCTTCCTCTACTTCCTATATAGGAACTATAAAGGGGAAATAGGAGAAAAATATGTTCTCCACAGGCTGAAGTCAACAAAGTTATACCCCAGACAGATCGCGTGTCTATTTCCTTTTGACACACACACACACACACAGTTTCATCTGCAAAATGGGGGGTGGAGTAGCAGCAGGGAACAGATGATAATTTTCCATTTAATATTTAATAATGTCTGCTTGTGTTAAAAGGAAATGGTGTTGGGCATGTATCCCGTAATATTCATTCCTTATAAATTACTAAATTTCTTAAAATGCTGGTAAAGGCCGTATCATTGTTAGACATTCCATTTATTTTCAGCCCCAGATCCAACCCCCTCCTTTATTCCTTCCTTCATCCTTTCCGGTCTGCCTCGGGCCTTAGACCTCTGTTTATATGAGAAACACCGGAAGTCAGGGTCAGGGAGCAAATACACCCTCAAGAAAATAGGAGTATGTGCCAAAGTAGAGACCCGCTCAACTACCGGCTTCCCTCAAAAAAAAGCAGGATCAAACCAGTTCTTGGCCCTGGCAGCTGCTGCACTGATCCGAGGGACCCCTCAGTGTCCTGTGCCCAGGGGAAATCGAGAAGCAGCCCTCACTCTAACTCACACATCTTCATCACAGGGACTGAAAGACGACTCGGGAACAGAATCATGGCTTTAGCCAGTGTGTAGATGCCCAGCCAGGAAGACTTGAGCACCGGGCTCAGCCCGGGGTGGGTGGGGGGAACCGGGCTGGCAGGAGGATGAGTCGGGGGTCACAGAGGCTCACCTTTCCATCCCCTTATTCCTTTGCTGCTCGAGTGGACTCTAAGTTCTATGGAGAAAAAGAACTGCCCCAAGTGTTCTGATGTCATGGGAACATGTTAAACATCCAGAGCCTTCTGCATTTTCAGAAACATCTCTTGAAAAGGCAGCTGGTGTGTCCGGGCAGAGTGGAACTAATGATTGTTTTCAGCGGAGTACAAAAGAGGCCTACAGCCATGCCTGTGGTGGATCCTTTTGAAAAGGCATTTTAATAAACTAAGACATTTATGAGCTTTATCTGCAGATGGAGAATACAGCTCATGTTGAATGTTTTAAGATGAACTTCCTGCAGAAATCAGCATGGCTAAGTGCTGAGTGGCACATCCCCAGCCTCGGTCACCTTTGCAAGCGTTGCTGCATTAGGGCAAACTTGGGCTCCCAGCGGCAGATCTCACCCTTCTTTCCCTCTCAGCTAGGTCCCGCGGTGTACACTCAGAGACCACAAAACTCCAAGAACACTCCCAGCTATTCTATTTAGCAGAAAGAGCCCTATTCTTTGCTTGGCTGGGGGCAAGGGTATGAATGGCAGTGCATATACCATATTGAAATGTTATAAATCAAACCTCAAACTTCATCCTACCTCAGTAAATATACCTTCAAAAAACCTGGAAGTCTAGGTTAGAATTTAGAATTCTTGGAGTCCCTGGAGCTTCATGTCAGAATGTGGCAGCATGGACAGATCCAACCTCTGGCTCCTGGCTCCCAGTGAGCCCCCTTCTCTCTCCACCCCGGGCTCCATCCTGCACACTGAAGCCTCATACACTTGTGTGTGGACAAATCAGCGTGCAAGTCCACTCTCCTGCAAGTCCTCTCCCACTAACAGTCTGTCTTTGGACACTCCTTGGGTCTAGGAATGAGTTAGGAAGTCGAGCTCAGAACCACCTGAGCAGGGAATTCTAGGTCCCAGGCTAGAAGGGAGAAGGGAGGGTGTGGGCCCTGGGAAGAAATGTCCCCTTAACCTTACAGATCCACAACCCATGGGGAGAGGCATGGCCTTCTGAAGTGTGGAGCCAGAAAGAGGTCCCTTTTGTCTGGTCTACGGACAGAACCACTATTGGGTTTTCTCAACTTCTAGTCGTCTCACAAATCATTTAGCTTGCCTTTCTGGTAGGCACATTGGCTCAGAGCTCTCTAATCAAAATATTATTGGGAAATAAAAATCCGTTAGTTCTAGAAATATATGAGTTGTTCTTTGAAAATGTAAGTTATATTTTACCTGAACATATAGTTTAAGTACTGCTGGTCAATGTCGCTAAGGAATGAGAAAAAAAAAAGATAAAACATGTGAAATAATAGAAGTGTTTTACATACACAAAAGAGTCATTATATTCTAATAATTATATCTATGGTTAAGTTTCTACATTTAAAAATTGTCAATAAATGGTATGAAGGGTACTTTATATTCAAAACTTGTTCCTGGCTCATTTTTAAGAAAACACTTCCTAGTTAATAGTAATCACACACATTTTCACCTATGACGGATTACCTCTGCGTGTACATTTGCCACCAGGAAAGGAGAGTCAACTCTCTCAGGCCATTGGACTGGCTCCTAGGGCCACCATATTTGACAGATAAAAATACAGGTCACCCAAATACATCTGGATCTCAGATAAAGAATCATGTTCAAGTATATTCCAAATATTGCATGGGCCATAATTACACTAAAAAAAGGATTCACCACTTACCTGAAATTCAAATTTAACTGGGCACCCTGTATTTTATCTGGCAACTCCACTGGCTTCTAGCTGCAGAAACACTTCATTAAAAGAACAAAAGGTGTTCTAAGGGACCTAAAGTCACAGTCTCCAAGTGTGTAATCTTCTCCCAGGGGTCCTTCTGGCGGCCCCCAAAACCCAGAGGCCAGGGGACCAGTCCAGGGCCTCTGACCTCCCAGCTGCAGGCCAACCCATGCCGGGACTCCTGTCTCTTTCATTGACATTTGCTAAGGCTGGTCCCTTGACTGCACAACAGGGGCCTCATTTTACCCCAGCACAGAGCTCGTGACTGGGGAACCTCTGAGTCTAAACAAAGTCAAGTTAGGAAGGAGCTGAGTAAACAAGAAAAAAGAGTTGGCCTCTGAGCTGCAAGAAATAAACTGGGGCCCCAAAGCCTCGGGTCACATTTTTATAAAAATGTTCTCTAAAAAGCTGTCCCTGAAGGAAGGGGGCAGAGGCTCCCCTGCTCTTCTCCCACTGCTGATGGCGGGTAGGATAGGGTGCTGGTGGATCCCGCCTGCAAGGGCCCAACAGCAGGAGAGACGGCTCTGGGGGCCCCAGGCACGCTCACGACACCGTGGGTCTCACCCCTTGGCTTGAACGAAACAACAACCCACCCCACTTGAAAAGTTTACCTTAGCACATTGGGTTTCCGGGCCTTCTGCAATATCTCATAAGCCCCTGAAAACGAAGCCGCGCATGTTACTGGCACAGGACGTTCCACGTGAATCAGCACAGGCGAGTGCCGCTCCTCCCCCGAGGAGCACCCCGGCCGACAGGGGGCGACAACAACACTCTGGAGGGAGTCCAGGATGCGAGCGCAGTAATCTCCTGCGATGACCAGTCAATACAGAGAGTGCTGGGCCAGGAGGGCTCGTGATCAGCAGAAGGATACAACGCACAGGAAGCTTTCGGCTTCCTTTGCAGGGTGCGCAGGAGAAAGGAACACGCTGCATTTCTGAATCGTGTGTAACCAAGTCAGGGCCCTGCTCTCCCCCTAAGACTACAGACGGGAAAACACTGAACGAATGATTGGAAATAAAGTCAGATGGCCCTTGTATTTCCCCTGCGTCCATTTCTTTGGGTATGCTGCTGAAGGACACTGTTTTGTTAAACACAAACTTCTGGATCTCTTCTCACCATTTTTAGAGAAGATCAACCAGCGTTTCTCAATAGACTTGAGCAAGCATGGCTAGAGCCATGGTGAGTTAATTAATGTTTGTCAAGAAAAAGAGAAGACTATATCAGAAATGGGAACATTTGAGGAAAACTCCAAAACAGGAAAGTCAGATCAGAAAACGCCCATTTAAGTTTAACCTTGACACCTTGTCTGTAATCTTCCTATTGTTCAGGGTCACCGAAAAGTGGATATATAATGAGGTCTAAATAATAAGCCTCAATTATTTAAGTAAGCATTCTTTTAAAACTTACCTACGCAGAATAAGTGAATTACAGCCCAGAAATATCCACCAGGATCAAACTGTAACACAGGATTTAAAAAATATAATAATAAAACGGCTATAAGTAGAGACAAATGGGATCTGGCAATCAGAAACCCTAAATGTCGATGCACGGTGCCAACCCAGGGTGCCACAACAGGACTCTGGGGCCTTTGGCCAGTCCATCCTCATTTCTCACCCCGATGCCTATGACATCTTCCTAATAGGGCTCTCTGCCTCCAGCACCCTTTTTCCTGTTCTCCACACTACCCTCACACTGTCTCTAAAAGACTAATTGGATGGTGTCACCTACTGCTTAAAATCATTCAACAGTCCCCCAGTGATTTTCAGGATAAAATCCAAACTCATGGCACCCGACGATCTCTAGGACAAGCCCCTGTCAAGCCCATCAGTCCTATCTACAACACCCCTTCCAGAGAAAGAACTTGCACTTCCCCAAGCCCGGATGCTTCCCCCCACCAGCACGGCTGAGGGGCATTCCCTCTCTTCTTCCCTTCCTTATTTTTCTGCGTAGAAGTTTATCTCATCTGCCACACCCTATTTCATGTATCACCTGTCTCTCATTCACTAGCCTGTAAATTCCAAGAAGACAGGAATTTGCCCCTGTGCAAAAGTGAGTAAGTGCTCACTAAAGCTGAATCACAGAAAGGCAGGACACCTCCACGACTGTGCGCACACCTGCTTTCTTCTCCTGGCCATCTGGTCCTCTCCCTCCAAGATTTAAGTCCAGAGAGCAGAGTCTGGCTTTAGCATCAGAAAGATCTGGTGTAAAAGCTGAAACCCCCACTTATTCATTAGCTGGTGACCTTTGGGGCCTCGTTATTCTTTAGCTTTGCAATGGAGACAATAAGAGTCCCTCTCCTTGTGAAACTGTGAGATTTTAAATAAAATAAGGCACATGAAGCATTGGCCCAGAGCCTGGCACATAGCTAGCTCCCTATAATTGTTAGCTCTTCCTATTTCCCCGGTCCCCGAGTCTTCATAGGTGCCACATGGCATCCCCTATCTCCCCACGACAGAGCCCCGGCCTCCCCATGTTATAATTATCTGTTTCTTGTCTGTCCTCCTCTCCTTTGTTCTGCCTGGACTCCGACTTCTGCCTGGATGAGGACAATTCCTCTTTGTGTCCCCAGAGCCTGGCTCAGTGCCTGACACTTGATGGGGATTTAATAACTGCTAGGGGAGAAGAGAGAGAAAACAGACCCACAGCGAGACTGCTACTGGAGGGGTAAGGGGGTGGGTCCTCAGGGCCTAATAAGGAAAAACTCAGGATAACTAAGTGAAAATCACTCTGCAGATGAGGCCCTCAGGATGAGAGGGAAAATCTACATCACCTCAATGCATGAGGCTAGAGCAACTCGGGCTGGGGCTCATGGGTCCTCCAAGCGCACACAGAGGGCCGACGGCAGCCACCACGGTGCCCAGAGGCCAGAGCTCGCCCGGGCTGCTGCAGCCCTGGGGAGAAGGCAAAGGCCTGCAGAAGGGGTACTGACATGGCCACGAGGCACCCAGCCTAGAAGCTTTTTTTTTTTTTTTTTTTAGATTTTATTTATTTGACAGAGACAGAGCAAGAGAGGGAACACAAGCAGGGGGAGTGGTAGAGGGAGAAGCAGGCCTCCCGCGGAGCAGGGAGCCCGATGCGGGGCTCGGTCCCAAGACCCTGGGATCATGACCTGAACTGAAGGCAGACACTTAACGACTGAGCGACCCAGGCGCTCTGCCTGGAAGCTTTTAAATGCCTTTGCACAGGCTGGGGTTCTTCTGATTCCTGAAGGAAGGACTAAGAAGTTCTGCTCATACATGCAGGCTTCGGAGAGTAAAAGACACTTGGAAGGCAAAATGAGAGCCCTTGAACTTACCTGGGGGTCGTTGAAGGGAAGGCATCCTGCAGCAGCCAGGAGGAAGAGAGCACTGTGCAAAGAGATAAAACAGGCAGCTTCACTTTTCAACATCAAAGCGTTGCCCGGAGAGTGTGGGGGTTGAAACACATCGAGTGGAGTGAGCACGGGGCCAAGACCCTGCAAGACCCCACCCCGTGCCCCTGTTCCTCCTCGAGAACCTCACTACCTATGCAGTTTTCAACTGGGTGCTCCACCGGGGACCAGAGAGTTCCCTCCCTGGGGCTCAGCTGGCCTTGTCCCCAGATATGGGCACTCGCAGGACATTTGCAAAACCATGGCTGGCTCGCTCGAGAAAAACAGGATGCCCGTGAAACAGGTTATAAGAAATTTTTTAAACTGCAGATCCCCAAAAATACACTAGTGGAAAACTGGGTAATCAGATTGCAGTTCTACCACTTAGGAAAAAGAAAACGCCATGGAAAGCATGTTAAAATCTTTTGCACTTCACCTTCACCAAATGATCAAGCTTAACAGCTCCAATGATGGGACAGGTGTATGTCATATGCCTCCTAATATGATGTACTAAGAAGGGCACGTCACTCACGTGGCATTCCTGCCAAATATGCATAACCCACCTAGCATGGCCAGTGGAACTGGGATGGGGAAATCCCCAGAGCTGGGACCTCACAGCCCTGGGGCGGTCAGCGTGACACGGGTCATCCTGGGGCACAGGAAGGTCCTCCACTCCAGCCCGCCCTCCTTCTACAGCCTCGCCAACTTTGAAGGCACACACACACATGGCCTCAAGAAGACTCCAAGGCCCCAGACTGTCAAAGGACTCAGAGGCAAAGGGTGGGGTGAGTGGAGGTAGGCGGGTAGAAGCGTTTCTGGGACTGCACAGGATCAGGCAGGTTTTAGGTGGGAGGAGAGGACAACCCTAATAGCTTTGGTCTACCTACAGTAGAAGGCTTTCTAGGATATAGGGCACTTCCCCATCCACAGGCAATGAATGTTACTGGTCCTCTCAAACAGAGAGCCCCTCGGGGCTGAGAGGAGATGGGGGACAGCCAGGTGGGTGACAGCGCTTGGTTTCCCACCAAACTTGGCCTTGAGCAATACCTGATTATATCAGGTATTAGTGGGCTTTAATGCCTCTTTAATACCTGCTAATCTTTTAAACAAGACGATGAGTCCTAACAGTGTTGTGTTTTGTTTTTTTTCCAAGTAGCCGTCTGTAATCAAGGCAAAAAAAGAGATTGGATGAAAGCCCAGAAATATTTGAAACAAAAGGTCCTAAATCCATGTGTCAAAGCATTTCTGTTGGTTTTCTATCATCAAGACTGAGCTTCAGAGCTATGGCTGCAGAGGCCAGAAGCAGCCAGAGAACAGGGTTACAGGTTGGCACCCAGGGGGGCCCAGGGGATCGGCCTGAGAGTCCAGCCGGGCTCGTGTTTCAGCCAAGGGAACAAGGCAGGAAGGGCTAGGAAGCCTGCCCTTCATCACCTTGCTGTGGCACAAGACCACGACTCCGATCCCTCATCTTGCAGCCAGTGTTTGCACCACCATGGGAATCAAAAAAACCCAATCAACTGCAAACACGATTTTAAACATTTTAAGTCCTTTTTCGTGTTTTCCATTTTCCTTCTCCCATCAGTATTGCACAACTCTTAGTGAACTTTTGGGCTTCAGTGACTGAAATCTAGCACGGGTTATTTTCCCCTTAGGAACAGAATATTTCAGGGGAAAAAAAAACCACGAGAGAGAAAGAGATAGTAAAATTTAGAAGAAGACACGAAATAGGGGTATATAACTGTTTATAATAAATTCTGTCAACTCTCAAATAGGCATCTCCAACAGCTTATCATCATTTAAAATCAGGTTAAATCTTCTATTTTAGAGGGCTGTGGTTTGCTGTTTTTTTTTTTAACTTACCTACAGATCTTTTTTATTTTTTTAAAGATTTTATTTTATTTATTTGACAGAGAGAGAGAACGCAAGAGAGAGAGCACAAGCAGGGGGAGTGGGAGAGGGAGAAGCAGGCTTCCCGCGGAGCAGGGAGCCCGACGCAGGGCTCGATCCCAGGACCCTGGGCTCATGACCTGAGTCGAAGGCAGACATTTAATGACCGAGCCACCCAGGTGCCCCTAAACTTACCTACAGATCTTTGCAGGAGAAGTTTTCTGTATGAAAATAAAGAGACTTACAGTTAGTCTTTATAAGTCCTCTTTTTCCCCTTAAAAGAAAATATTTAGATCAAGAGGCAAATAAAGGTTGAATAAGCTTATTGGGGGCTTAAGAGCTGGCTGCACCTCTGTATTTCTGGAGGCCTTTTCTGCTTGGACTACACAAAGGATGACTCAGAGGTCCAGAGCTGAGTCACTTGGGCAAAGCACTCTGGGTGTGCGGTTTTACTACCCTCACCCCTGGAACTGGGTTTACCCACAAAACCCCAAAATGATGCCAGGGCCAAGACTTCAAATATCTTACATGCCAAGAAAGGGAGAGAGAGAGGAATTGATGAGACCTGTGGAAGAAGAGAAATCAAGCTCTCATTCAACTTCTATTCTAGTCTGCTTCCTTATGTTTGCCTTTCACTGATCCAGCTCTGACTCTGAGCAGGGCTGTAAGTTCTCTGGGATGATGTATAAATGAAGAAACAGGAAAAAGGAGAAGGGACAGTTGACTCCACCTCTAGGGAGAGAGAAAGGGCAGACTGGGGAAATCTAAACTTGGCTGAAATCTAAACTCCCTGTAATGAAGAAATTCTAAGGCAGGTCCTACCTTTATCCTCTCCTTTTTATTAGTCATTTTTTTTTATTTTAAAGATTTTATTTATTTATTTATTTATTTAGAGAGTGAGAGCAGGAGCTGAGGGGGGGGGGGGGGGGGGGTGGCAGAGGGAAAGGGAGAAAGAGAACCTCAAGCAGACTCTGCGCCTAGCCCAGATGGGGCTCCATCTCACAACTCTGAGATCATGACCTGAGCCAAAACCAAGAGTTGGATGCTCAATCAACTGAGCCGCCCAGGCGGCCCATTGTTTTTATTAGTCATTTTAAGGGAGTTAGTCCTTTGCACTCAGGTATAAAGTTCTAGCAGGAAGAAGCACAGAAGTTTCTGTATTTGATAGAGGAAATAACAGATTAAATCTGGACATTTCAAAGGATTACTTTGCTAGTTGGGGACAAACTACAGCTTTTCGACTCCAGTTCTTGAAAGTGAAGTATGAACATATTGTTTAAAAATGAAGGACTCAAAAGATACAAACTTCCAGTTATAAAAGTAAGTCTTGGGGATGTCATGTTCAGCATAGCATGGTGACTAGAGTTACTAATACCATACTGTAGATTTAAAAGTTGCTCAGAGAGTAGATCTTGAAAGTATTCATGACAAGAAAAAAAATCTGTATAACTACATATGGTGACGGATGCTAGCTAGACTTACGGTGATCATTTGCAAGATATATAAATATCAAGCCATTATGTTGGACACCTGAAATGAATATGTTATACGTCAATCATATCTCTGTTTTTTTAGAAACGTGAAGACTGACAAGGTAACATGGTTTGTTATGAAGGCTATCTTCAGTTTTCATGCATTACTAAATAATCCAGTTTGCGTTGTTTTAATAAATAGATCCTGTTTGTAGGCAAAGTAGTGGCTTGCTAGAGCGTTCCCTCTCATCTCCATGGAACCTGCCTCAGCTGGCCACACCAACCTTGACTCCACTGCCACCTGGTGGGGACACATCCCTTCAGTACAGAAAGGATGACCCAAAAAGGTGACCTGGCTCAGGGCACCTGGAGAAGTGCCCCCATCATGGGAAAATGTGTCACTGCAAGATTCTGGGCTCAGGGTAATCAACATCTCAACAGTTTGGCAGAAAAATAGGAACAGACAGGACAGAGAAAGAGTATGTCCCAGCTGTTCCATGAGTAGTAACAGGTGCATCCAGCAACTGTCTGGCGGCTTCCGTCACAGGGCAGCAAATCCACACAGTGCTCTAAACAGTTCGCCCATTCCACAGAGGAGAGGGTGCTTTTTATTTTAAATGCCTCTGGCTAGAGGAGTCAGAACCTGAGATATGGGGATTAGAACAAGCAATAAATGCATTAGTGAGCTCTGCTTCCCAGGGCTCCAAAAACAACTCAGGAGTTAATGTTAGACGTTCACCTTTTGAGGCTCCTCAGTCCGAAAGTCACCCAGGCATAAGTCCTAGTGATATCTCAGTGTTCTGAGTGGGTCAGTATAACTCCCCAAAAGTCATATCGCCAAAAATAACAATAAATAGCTAACATTACGGGTGGTCAGCTAACTTACTCGGAGGACTACTTACTCTGTGCCGGTGTTGTTCTAACCCCTCTACATGGATTGATTTATTTCATTATGGGTTAAGTCTCAGGTTATATGCTACAGATGTGGACACCAAGGCACGGAGAAATTAGCTAAGCTGCCCAAGCTCCCAAGGTCTGGGCTCAGGCAATCTAGCTCCAGAGCCTGACCTTTCATGATGCTATTCTGTCACAACCAGCCCGCCAGTCCTGCAGGACACCCCGCCAGCCCTTTCAGACTACTACCTTCATCTGCTGCTTCCTCTGCCTGCCTGGAGTGCCCTTTCTCCCTGCACTTTGAAAATTCCTACCATCCGCAGGACTGGGTTCAAATCTTGCCCTTGGCCCTTCCAAGCAGACTTACCAGTGGTCACCCCAGTCCACCCACACCCCTGTTCCAGCCCATATAACATTCTATGGGCATCCCAGAGTTTATGTGTTGGCTCCTCCATTCAGCTGAGCTCTGTGAGGGTGATCAGTGTGTCCAGTTTAGCTCCATAGCTGCAGGCCCAGCCAGACGTTTGATACACAGTGTAGACTTAAGAAATGCTGAACAAACGAACAAAAGAATGAAGAGCAGCATTCTAATGTTCAGCTGTGACAAGTCTATCTGCAAGGTAGTGAGACCAATTCCACAAGCCACACATTACCTTAGAGTCAAATTACGTGTGCATGTGTTTGCGCATGCATGCACAAAGTACTGTGGGAGGTGAGAGTGAACCACAGCTCCAGACAGAGTTTATCCCTAAAACCTGGGAACAAGGTCACGAGGAGGTCAACCTTCCTCTCCAGAGTGGAGTCTGGTGAAACCGACACATACTGGACAAAAGAGGTCTCACTGTGAGTCACAGGTAAAGTCTAAGAGGTGTCACATAGCTGTGCTCCTGGTAATATCTGGTCACTCTGTCGAGGCTCCAAGTGAAATGATCAGGAAACTGAATCATGCGGGAACAGATCACAGCCAATCTTTAATCTTTATCACAGAGAAGATTTTAATGCCAACCTACTAGAAACCACCTATAAGTCTAGAAACAGGGATTGGGCAACACATCATATTCCATGTGGAGTGGAATGAGGACACGAATAGAGATTCCTGACAAACTGATCAATGGAAAATAGGATATATTATATTATCTGTGTAAGAATGTCTATATACGTGCATTGAAAAAAAGTCTGACAGAATAGAGTAATATCCTGTGTGAAGTAGGATCACAGCTGATTTCTGGGACTTTCTTCCTCTGCATATTCTACAACTTACTATTGTTTATTACACTCAAAAAGGAAAGAAGCGTTTTTTAAAATGACACTAAGTATGTAATTCATACCACTGTTTCCTAATTTGCCCTGACAAGAAAGGATATTGTTTATAAAGGAAATAATCAACAAAACTAAAAGACAACCTACTGACTGGGAGAAGATATTTGCAAATAATGTATCTGATAAAAGGTTAGTATCCAAAATATATAAACTCAACAATATTATACAACTCAACACTGAAAAAACAAATAATCTGATTAAGAGTGGGCAGAAGTCATGGACAGACATTTCTCAAAGAAGACATATAGATGGCCATACAGACACATGAGAAGATGCTCAACATCACTCATCATCAGGGAAATGCAAATCAAAACCACAATGAGGTATCACCTCACACTTGTCAGAAAGGCTGAAATCAACAACACAAGAAACAACAAGTGTTGGCAAGGATGTGGAGAAAAAGGAGCCCTCGTGCTTCTCTGATAGGAATGCAGACTGGTGCAGCCACTGTGGAAAACGGTATGGAGGTTCCTCAAAAAAAATTAAAAATAGAATTACTCTATGATCCAGTAATTCTACTACTAAGTATTTACCCAAAGAATATGAAAACACCAACTCGAAAAGATACATGCAACCCCATGCTTATTGCAGCATTATTTACAATAGCCAAATTATGAAAGCAGCCCAACTACCCATTGACAGATGAACGGATAAAGAAGTGGTACATATACATACAATGGAATACTGCTGAGCCAAAGAAAAGAATGAAATCTTGCCATTTGTAACAACACGGATGGAGCTAGAGAGTGTAATGCTAAATGAAATCAGAGAAGGACAGATGCCATATGTATAATTTAAGAAACAAAAAAACAAACGTAGAAAAAAAGATAAAGCAAAAAACAGACCTTAACTATAGAGAACAAACTGAGGGGAGGTGGTGAGGGGATGGGGGAAATGGGTGATGGAAATGAAGAGCACACTTCTCATGATGAGCACTGAGCAATGTATAGAGTTGCTGAATCACCATATTGTACACCCTGAAACTAATATAACGCCGTATGTTAACTGTACTGGAATTAAAATAAAAAAAAAAGAAATGATGTTGTTTAGTGTTAGGGATGAAATGGAGATGAAGATTCAAAATATTTTGGTGTTTATCCAATTTCTTCCAAGGACAGGTCCTCTCAGCCTGGAAGTCTGGCCCCTGGTCTCTGCCTGATGGAAATACCCGCGAAGGCACTCTAACCTGTTTCTTATACTCAGCCTCACGTCTGTGATCCAACTGGTCCATCAGGAAGCAATACCCTATAGAGATGCCTGGATCTCTTGCCCAGACCAGGTAAATCTTCATTTTCAATTCACAACAGAAGCATCCACTGTGTAGATAAGAAGCATGAGTCCATCTCCCAGAAGCTGAGCAGCTCTTGGGGAGTGGCTGAACTGCAGTGACTAGTTAGTGAATATTCAGCTTGGCAGTGGTTCTGGGACTGGATTTTGGGGCTACGAAGACAACCATGTGGTCCCTGCCAAGAGGGGGCTCAGAGGAAGCAGACAGAGACCGAGGGAAACTCCTACCGCATTTCATTGAACCTCTGATGCCACCGAGTATAAAATCCCCCCCATTCTTTATATATTACTAAGAAAGAAAGCGTTTGACCAGGGCACACCATTGATTATAGAAGCATCCTGACTGCAGATAGTGAATATGTTTTTTCAACGTGAGAAAAAGCAGCACGTGTTAGAATTGATGAAATATGGAAATCACAAGGTGGTGTGATAAGTAAAATGTCAGGGAGAGGTCTCATGCTCCTTGAGGTGTCAGAGGTGTCAAGCTCCAGCTGCATGCAGACCAGCCTAAAATACCAAAGGCCTCCCTCGTGAGACCTCAAGAGTCGCCACCACGCCCTCTCTCACCTCCTGCAGTCCTGTCTCCTCCACAGACAGCTGGATGAACTGTCAGCACTGTAAATCTGATCGGTCCGTCTGGGCTTTCACACCCAACCCTGGCCTCCCACTGCACTCAGCATACACGCCGAACTCCCAGGTCAGCCTCAAAGGCTCATCCTAAGTCTCCAGCCTCATCCTAAGCCCTCCTCTCTTATCAAGCACCAGCCGCACTGGCCCAAAGTGACTCCTGCCAAGTCCCTTCCTACATCTGGTCCTTTGCGTCTGCTGCTTCCCCTTCCTGGCCCCACCTGGTGAATTCCTGCTCAGCCTTTGTCTGTGGTTAAATGTCACTTCCCCATAGTGGCCTCTCTGTCCGGACAGTCCAGCAGGTGGGTGTCATGATTTGCTCAGCTGATGCTCCATAGGAGTAGCCCAGAGCAGCGGGACCATGCCCCTGCCTCACTACTGTAGACCCAGAGCCTGGCATGGTGGGTGTGTATACAGGTACGTAAAACATTCAGAATGAATGAGCGGGTGCTTGAAGAGGTTCTCTGACAGATCAGAGAAAAGAATACATCACGGCATGGTCTAGGAAAAATGAGAAGTTTGGTTGGGGCTGGATTTTCTAAAACCTGAGAGGGGTATGGCACCTTTGCATGCCTCCATGCAGGTCATGGGCAGCCCCCATGTCTGTGGGGGGACATGAGCAGATCCGTTTCAGAAGGTTGCTTGGGTGCAGTGTGGAGGAAGGGGAGCATCGGGAGGGGCAGGGAAACCAGCCAGGCACACGGCACATCGGGCAGGCGAAGGCAGGTGATGGTGTGCACAGAACACGATAACCATCTAAGCCAGGACCACTCAGCCCAGGCCCTACTTGGCGGCCCAAGGGTTCAGGGGAGCAAGATCTCATTTGGCCCCTAACCAGGTAGCCCTGAAAAAAGAATGAGGACCTGAGCCAAGGTGGCAGCAGAGTGAGAACAGAGAGGAGGGGACAGATTCAGAAATAGGGTGTGGGGGGAAGGAAGACCAGAGCAGGACTCTCAGGGGACCCCTATGTTTCTGACTTGGGTGGTGATGACCAGAATCAGGATCACCACGTAAGAAGCAGGTTGTGAAAACAGAGCAGTCCCAGTTTGGTCCCTTTGTATTTCATATGCCTGGGAGACAGCTGCGGGGAGAGCCAGAGGCAGCAACCACAGGGGTCCGAGCTCAAGAGAGAGGTCTGGGCTGGATATGGGGCACAGGAGTCCCCGGGGAACTGAGGGGGATGCTGCCATGGGCGTGGATGAGACTGTCCAGAAAGTGTGTGCGTGGGAACAAAGGGCACCTGACACAGAGCCCTGGGAGACCCTGTAGGGCAGACGAAGGAAGGAGGAAGAGCCGGAGACTGGGGAAGAGAATCAGCAGGTCACGGGGGCCAAGAGACTCAAGGGAAGGCGGCGGTGAACCTGGTGACGAATGGTGTAAAAGGCCAACAGAGTCGCATCAATGCAGGCCCCAGTGACTTCAGCCAGCGCAACTTCAGGGTAATGGTGGGGGCAGGAGCAGGCTGCAGGCGAGAAGGCCACAAGGCCATGGACAGCTCTGAAGCCAACCCTCCCTCAGGCACTGTGCTGGGGGAGGGCAAGGATGCGGTGGGGCAGGGGTGGAGGGGTGCACAGGCGAGGGAGCCCGCTGGCATGGTTTCAGAAACAGCCTTCCAGAGCTGGGGTAGGGTGAGCGAGTCTCCCAGGGCCTGCTCCGTCCTTGGGGGCCTGACAACACGGAGAGTGTCTGTGGGCTGAGGGAAGAAAGGCAGCAGAGACGGAGAGAGGTTAGCTCTCCAGGCCAGAAGAGGCAGTCAGTCCATGGGATGACAGGGCGCACAGGTGTGCGGAGGGGCCTCGGCCATGGGAAGGACACCTCTCTCTCCTGCACACCTGTAAGAAGTGAGCTGCCTGAATGACCAACTAGCCTCTCTAGTTGAAAAGTTCCAGATTTCGAAACCATTTCGAAAGGGCAGATTTCATTAGAAAGAAAGAACTCCCAAGAGAGGAACCAAATTAAAACCACCACTAATAGTGTTAATAAATATAGCAAACATGTACAGAGCACCTACTCTGCGCCAGAAACCGCTGGATACACTTCACACGGGTGCCTCGCTGTGTCCTCCCAACAACTGTAGGAGCTGGGTGTCATTACCATCCCCCTTTCCCAGGGGGAGGCACAGAAGGTGAAGACACTTGCTCCAACTGGTGTGACGCAGAGCTGGGCTTGGGAAGCAAAGGGAACTCGCCCAGGGTGGGCTGATGCTCCCAGCACCCTATGCAAGGCTCTGCGATACGTTTCCCCGCGGCCCTGGGATGAGCTGCGGGCGGGAAGGCTGCCCCCCACCACCCCTCCTCGGCCCACAGTAAACTCCTCCTTGTATCCCAAGGTGCTCACTCTGCCCTGAGCTGCAGCTGAGCACCGTTCAGATCCACGAGCATCCCCACATAAGCCTGATGAACCGAAGGGATGTCGAAAACATGATCCTTGAAATGAGGGATGACTGCCAGGCAGTCATGACCACTGTCAGGAAACAGATGGCAAGACAAGGTAGACACTAATTTGGGCCATAAGAAAAGGTGCATCTTTGAAATTTAAAGCAAGGGAAGCGAAACTAGCATTTTGCATTACCATTTACCTCTTTCCGAAAACACATCTGGTGCCCACAGAGGATAACTTCAGCTACATTATGCAAAGTGAGAAACACAGGAATGGCCTGAAAGAAAACAGAATGTAATAAGCATGAAAATGTTTTCTTTGATCCCATAATTACATAATACTTGATTTCTGCTTAAAAATAACGATCCGTGGGAACTTCTGGCATCCACATTTACAATCCTCTCCAGCAAAAACTCTTCCGCATGGATTAGCGCTCTCTGTTGTAGTATTATTCTTGGCAAGGCGGACGTAGAGGCTCAACACATATTTATTAAGCACCTACTGCATGTCAGGCACCGCGCCAGATGCAGGAAACACATCCCGTGCCCAGGGTGGATATGTGATAGGGAGACTGTCCCTATCGAGGTAAGAGCTCTCGTGGGATATGCAAAAAGGCGCACCTACCCCACGTGGGCAGAGGAAGTGAGGTCCAGAGGCTAAATGAGAACGGAATGACAAACTGGAGTGTGCCAAACCAGAGGAGGCAGAGGGTGCTGCAGTCCAGGTGAAAGTGAACCCACTCCTCCAGGAACAGGGGTGGGGGTCGGGGTAGGGCTGAGCAGCAGACCGTGAAGCGAGAGCTGGGGAGAGGTCATCAGGCCATATCAGAGTCAGGACAGTGCCAAGAGCCAAGGAGCCGCTGAAGAGTTTCAAGGCAGTGACATGATTTGATCTGCATGTTTAAAGGAACTTGGGCTCCCAGTAGAGGACAGAAGGCAGAGACGGCTGGGAAAGTCTAGGGCTGTGGCAGACTGAAAAATGGGCCCCTGCAAGACAGTCACACTCTAATCCCCGGGACCTGTGAATGTCACCCAACATGGCAAAAAGGGGTCTTTGCAATTGTGATTAAGTGCAGAACTTGAGGTGGGGAGTTTGCTCTGGGTTATCTGGGGAGGCCCTAAATGCAAACACATGTATTTGTCAGAGAAAGAGATCTGACACACACAGAGGGGGAAGCGACATGACCACAGAGCCAGGGACTGCAGTGATGCAGCCACAAGTCAAGAAATGCTAGCAGCCGCCAGAAGCTGCAGGAGCCAAGGACTTGGATTCTCCCCCAGAGCCTCCGGAGCGCGCTGTAGCCCCTGCTCCCACACCTTGATTTGGGCACAATAATGCTGATTTCAGACTTCTGGTCTCCACAACTGAAGAGAATAAGTTTCTGCTGCTTTAAGCCACCTGATGTGTGGTCATTTGGTACAGGGGCCATGGGAAGCTAATACAAGGAATGGCAAGACTGCAGCCTAAACTTGGTAGTGGCAATGAAAATGCAGTGTCCACAGTAAGGAAATATTTAGGAGACTGAACTGAGGTAAATATCTGAATAACCAGGATCAACTGTGGAACAACAACAATAACAAAAAAACGGGAGGGGGATAAAGATATTAAAAAACCCCTAATACTCCAGAGGGTTATTAAGTTACATTTACGATCACTAGGTTATTCGCTAAGAATGGCTGTCTCTCCTAATTTGGTGGCTAGTCTTGACCCGATGAGCAGGAAGGATTAAAGGGCATGGGATTTTGTTATGGTCTCTGTTGTTGATGATGATGGCAATATTTCCTGAAAGACAGAAAAAGACCGAGCACAGGTGAAACCAAGCAGAGGCAAACCTTAGTTTGCTCCTCTGTAGGGGGGTAACAATAGCTACGACCCAGAGCACCTGGGAGGAATGACAGAAGTAGCTAAAGGACCTAGATGAGTGGTTCGGGAGCTCTGCGTGAAAGATGGTCAGTTTTAACATGTGGCCCACCCTCAGCAGCCTTGACAGAGGACCCTGAGCAGGGAAACTGTTCCAGCTTGGAGGACCCACTTAAGATCATGCTGCTCGCCTACTTCCAGATGGATCTATTCTTTATCTTTTCGGAGCATATATTTTTACCTTGTTTTTAAAACTCATAACTTTGTAGCTCTGCCCTATTTTAGTATTTTGTTCTAACTTGCACTGTTTTATTTCTTTTGGAGTTCTTGCATTCTATTTTCCTGCCTTTGTAACGTTTTCTACTCTTAATTTATCTTTCACCAAAAGTGCAACTCAAACTGTTTTTTTCCTTTTAAAATTATACTTTATAAAATAAATAATAATAAACCATACTTTAAAATTAAACAATCCAATTAAAAATGGGCAGACGACATGAACAGACATTTCTCTAAAGAAGACCTACAGATGGCCAACAGACACATGAAAAGACACTCAACATCACTCATCATCAGGGAAATGCAAATCAAAACTACGATGAGATACCACCTCACACCTGTCAGAATGGCTAAACTCAAGAAGACAAGAAACAACAGGTGTTGGCGAGGATGTAGAGAAAAAGGAAACCTCGTGCACTGTTGTTGGGAATGCAAACTGGTGCAGCCACTCTGGAAAACAGTACCGAGGTGCCTCAAAAAGTTAAAAATAGAATTGCTCTATGATCCAGCCATCACACTACTGGGTATTTACCCAAAAAATACAAAAACACTAATTCAAAGAGACATATGCACCCCAATGTTTATAGCAGCATTATTTACAATAGCTAAATTATGGAAGCAGCCTAAGTGCCCATTGATAGATGACTAGATAAAGAGGTGGTGTATATATACACAATGGAATATTATTCAGCCATCAAAAAGAATGAAATCTTGTCATTTGCAACAACATGGATGGAGCTAGAGAGTATAATGCTAAGGGAGATAAGTCAGTCAGAGAGACAAATACCATGATTTCACTCACATGTGGAATTTAAGAAACAAAACAAAGGGTGAAAAAAGAGAGACAAACCTAGAATCAGACTCTTAACTACAAAGAACAAACTAATGGTTACCAGAGGGGAGGTGGGGGCAGGGGATGAGGGAAATAGGTGATGGAGATTAAGGGGTGCACCTGTAATGAGCACCAGCTGATGTATGGGATTGTTGAATCACTACATTGTCCACCTGAAACTAATACAACATGGTATGTTGACCACACTGGAATTAAAATAAAAAAAGTGAAGTTAAAAAAATCATACTTTATTTTTATTATTTCCTAATTTTTTCATTTATCTTTTGTGCTTTTTATTCCTCTTAAATTTTTATATTTTGAATTAATTTTTATGTGTTTTAAAACAGATTTTTTTTTCACTGGCTTTATCCATTAGGCCTATGTTTGGCAAACTTAGGGCCTGGCCTTCCAGTTCTTGGCTTAAGAAGATAGAAAAAAAAATCTTGGACAGGTTAATTATGTATACATGAAAATGAATACAAAAGGGTGACTTGGATGTTATTTATTTAAAATTAAGACCTTTTTAAAAACGCTTTTGCCTCCTTGACTATAAAGCCAGTAAGGAGACCAGATTTAGGAACTTTAGACCCTAACTCCAGACCTCAAAGAGGCTAATTTTCTCAATTTTAATAAACTGTGACTAGGTTTTCAATCTCCCTAGGCCCTGCTCTGATCACATTCTGGAAAAGGATCTATCGATACACATAGAATTGGTTTTCAAGTACACTAATGAGAGCTACCAACAATGTGTTGGACACAGTGCTAATTATTTTAATTGCGTTCTCTTATTTAAATCTCCTTCCAACAACTCAATTAGTGGGCGCTATTACCTTGATTTACAGAAAGGAGCCTAATACTTAGAAGATGAGGCAACTTGCTGAGTGCTCACGGCTGGCTCGGGGCCAAGAGCTGTGGCTCCCATCCAGGCTTCTCTAACTGTAGAGTCCATGCTCCTAACCTCAATACCATGATACCCCAATTACAGCAAGTCCCCCAGGGTAACCTTCCTGGCCCTACAACTGTCCACAAAGTCCAGTAGGACTGGTGTGTTCCAAATCCCACCAGTCTGCTTCCTCCAGTAAGAACACTGGTATGACCTAAACTGCATGAACTCAGTAAACTCTGTGATATGTTTTAAAGGATAGTTTCCATTTCTGCTTTAACAAATTTAAATCTGGATTTCTCAAGCCATTTTTCCACTGAGAAGCTAGCAGTTTTCAGAAACAGTAATTCTACAATTGACGATCTCAGCCTCCATAGAGATCTATGAAAAACAACTATTAACGCAGTTCGCAAACTTTAATTACTGATTTTTCTTGGCCTCTAACTCTGTACAAGTCCCAGTCTGTGAACTGTGCTATCCATTCAGGAGACCCTCGAGTGACTGATTCTTTTAGAAAACCTGCCTTTTAAAGAAAACAAAGACAGAAAACCTGCCCTTTGTTATCTTATGGAGTGAGGCTCAGCAGTACTTATGTCAAATCAGACAAAAGTTCTGAGAAATTCTAATAGCCATGATAATAACTAAGATATATTGAATGCTTATTATGTGCTAGCTGCTATCCTAACTGCTTTTGCATACCTCATTGTCATAACTCTATGAAGTAGATACTATTAACATCCCCACTATGCAGATGAGATAATGAAGGAATATATTTTGGTTCTCTTTTTTAACCTGCCTCTTGATCATCTGAAAACCACTTTTAGAAAATCTATATACTTACTTGCTGCTAAAGAGAACAGAAACGTAAGTATGTTCTTCCACGTTGTCAGGGCTCTAGGAATGGCCTCAACCACTTGGTTGAGGTCCTACCATCTTTCATCAGGAAAAATGGTCAAGATCAACTACTATAAAACCCATATCATCATTTTTAACACAAAATGTAATTAATCAAATTCAACTACACTGCAGGCCAATTCATTTAGTTACTTAGGGGCACAGTTTGCAACTAATTTTTCTTAGACTGCATTAGCTTAAAATTCAACATCTTACCATGTACCATTGGACATTTTTCTCTGGTTGTGAAGAGAAATTGGTATCTAGTACTTAAAATTTTTCATTATTCTCATGCTTTCCAGAATGGAAATTTTGAGGCTTTGTTATTTGTTCAGGTGTTGGGCCTGAGTTAGAACAGTTGTCTATGGAAAATCCTGGCCCTGTCCATAGGCACGGTCTTGGGTCACTCTGCAGACACTGACGCCTCCCTTTTCCAAGCAGAGTCCTGGGTCAGCTTCTTAATTTTGGTTAAAGAATGTCAATCCTATCTTCGTTTTGGGTGATTTTTCAATATGTAGGTGTGGGCTTAATC